ACTCATTTAGTGAGGAGCCCACCTATTCAAAGTCACATAAGCACAGAGTGAATAAGATGTGACTGCTGGGCCTGGGCGGGCTCGGTGGCTAAGACCACTTTCTGCTCTTGTAGAGGACCCAAGTTTAGTTTCTAGCACCTACATGGTAGCTCACAACCAACTGTAGCTTCAGTTCCAGGTCTGATGTCCTCTTCTGACCTTTGTGGGCACCAGGCACACATGTGGTACACATACATACATGCAGACAATCATTCATACATATAAAATATTGTTTTAAAAGATGAAAATGCTAAGCAAAAGTTGTTCACAAAAGTTGTAGTGTAGGTATTGGAGATAGAGCTGCATGGAAGAAAGGCCTTTCCAAGGGAATTAGGGAAAATACAATCTGAAACTTCTATCAAAGAGAATAGGTGGTGGGTGGGGAGAACACTAAAGCTTTAAATGTAAAAGTAGTATCTTCAAGAAGGAAGGAACAGGGAACTTATGTTCAGACATGGACCAGCAAAACAAGAATGGTCTAGGTAGAGACAACCTGAGGCATGGACAGACAAAAACATTCTCAATTTGTGCTTCCTATGGAAGGATAATGAATAGCAGGTCAGGTCTTTGTGTTAGGGCCCCACCAGATTCTTGGAGCAGTTATCAGTGACAGTGGCAGACGGATGGCCTGATCCAATGACTCCAAGACAAGACGGAGCAAGAGTCGAGTGCAGCCAACCCCAGGATGCCTTTCAGTCCAGCCCCAGTGCAAACCTCCCTTTTAAGTGCAGACTTCAATGTCAGAGTGGGCACGTGTTAAAACAGTTGTGAACCTTCATGGAAACAGTATGTATAGCTGTGAATCTGTATCTCTCACTCTACTCATCCACTCATCCACAGGAAAGGAAGAAACTGATTTTTAAAAGTTTAGGGGCTGGAGAGAGGGCTCAGCACTTGTCATCTAGGTTTGGTTCCCAGCCCCTGGCTCACAACCATCCATAACTCCAGTTTCCAGGGATTTGACTCGCTCTTCTAAACTCTACAGACACCAGGCACAAACTTCATGCACATACGTACAGGCAGGCAAAACACCCACACATATAAAATGGGGTAAATATAAATTAATTAGAAAAGATGTTGACTTTCAGAAATTTGTGGTGGATGGACATGGTAGCACATAACTGTAATTCCAGCAATTGGGAAGCTGAGGTAGGAAGATTGTCATGAGTTCTAGGCCAGCCTGGGCTACATGGTGAATTTGAGGCTAGTCTGGGCTAGAAAATAAGACAACCTAGTGTTACCAAACAGAAAGAGGAAAGAAGGAAGGCACAAATGAATGAGTATTGAGAGCTGCCTGCAGCAAAAGGCCATGAGAGTATACAGCAGGTGACAACTAGTGTTCAGAAGGTCAACCTATCAGAACCAAGGGTTCTGGTGGAGGAAACCATTATGCAAGGCGTTTTGAAATTACTGCCTTTTGAATGAATTGCCTGTTTCTTAATGTAAACTTTTTCTGCAATACCAGCTATGATATCTCCCCATTACCATGCATCTTCATGTAATGTATATATTTAATCTCATGATTACATCTCAGTCTTTTTTTTTTTTTTTTGGTTTTTTCGAGACAGGGTTTCTCTGTGTAGCTTTGCGCCTTTTTCCTGGAACTCACTTGGTAGCCCAGGCTGGCCTCGAACTCACAGAGATCCGCCTGCCTCTGCCTCCCGAGTGCTGGGATTATAGGCGTGCGCCACCACCGCCCGGCTACATCTAGGTCTTATGGGCACATATATCTGTGGGTTGTCAGGAAGATGACTTTTCATTTAGCTGTATCATTTTGATTATAGAAATTGTATAGAAATTATACTAAGACATGCTTCATAGCCAGATCCATTGTCCCACTAGACTGTGGACACTCAAAGCCTGCTTTTGTTCCTTTTGCTCAGACTAACACAGAAAATAATAATCTCTCCTCAGTCTAACACAAACTGTATGCATTTAGCTCATTTTTTACCTCAGAGCAAGTTCAAACTAGACTAAAGGCCTTTATATAGAGATGGCAAGTTCAAAACTTTACAGTTTTGCACAAGGTCAGAGCCGCAGGTGTCTACCAAGGTTACTAACACAAAACACCCTAAGAAAAGCCTGCCAATTCTTCACTTGCCAAGTGTGCTGACAAAAAGCTATGTCTCAGAGTCTGTGGCACTGGGCACTGCGCCCCTTCCCTCTGGTTCTGAGACCTTGGAACCTTGTTACCATGGTAATGGCTCTGCTCCTTATCATCTATTCTAGGAATGTGCTATGACCTTGAGAGTTTTGAAACTTTTCTCAAGATTGCAAGGTGGGGCAGGGGTGGTGCGGGGGGCGGGGGGGGGGGGGGGGGGGGAGGCTTTCGATACCTGCCCCAAGGGTTTTCTCCCAGAGTCCAGGGGAAGATGCTTATAAGCGGCTGGGATTCTAATCTTAGGGATATCAAATGAATCTTCGAACACCGAGCTCTTTCAGTCCATTCACTTTATTCTTGTAAGTCAGTTCTCTTTCTTGGCTCCTTTCTTGCCTAGCTCCTCACATTTCTAACTGGAGACTCCTTGCAATCCTGAGAAAGTTTCAGAACCCTCAAGGTCATAGCAGTTTGTGTTAGACTGAGGAGAGATTATTATTTTCTGTGTTAGTCTGAGCAAAAAGAATAAAGCAGACTTTGAGTGTCCACAGTCTCATGGGACAATGGATCTGGCTTTGAAGCATATCTTAGTATATTTTCTATACAATTTCTATAATCAAAATGATACAGCTAAACAAAAAGTCATCTTCCGACCACCCACAGATATATGTGCCCATAAGACTGAGATGTAATCATGAGATTAAATATATACATTACATGAAGATGCATGGTAATGGGTAGATATCATAGCTGGTATTGCAGAAAAAATTTACATTAAGAAACAGGCAATTCATTCAAAAAGCAGTAATTCCAAAATGCCTTGCATGATGGTTTCCTCCACCAGAACCCTTGGTTTTGATAGGTTGACCTTCTGAACACTAGTTGTCACCTGCTGTATACTCTCATGGCCTTTTGCTACTGGCAGCTCTCAATAGGACATGGCAGGCAAATCCGTGAGGTCCAGTGAGAGACCCTGGCTTGAAACTAAATAAATAGGGGTGGACACCAACTCAATTTCTAGCAGAGAGAGGAAGATCATCCAGCAAGATAACGTGGCCAACACTTCTTCCAAGCCCTGAATCCAGATCTCCAACCCAGTGCCTAGCTCTGCCACTCTCAAGGCTCCTTGAGCTCCCAGTATTTTGTCTTAGTTTTCTCACACGTGATTAGAGCTGATGGAGAGGTCTGCGGACAAAGTGCTGCGAGAAGTGGCGAGTTCATCACAGAAGGAGTCAGAATAGTGCCGGCCAACGGTGATTACTCCAGCTGTGCCAGGTGTTCATATTACTTGTTTTGTGTTGTGCTTAGTTTTAACAACCATCATATTTGTAGCTAGTAAAAGGGTGCTGAAAATATCCCATGCTAGTTATACCATGACCTAAGCAAGCAGCTGTCTACCTGCCTTCCCTGGGCTGTTAAGAGCGTGCATAGAAATGCCAGAGTCGTGTTCTGGGTTGCTTCATGTTGACTCTAGTTTCCAGCTTGTATATAGTATAGGAACAACAATTTTGCTTTAAAGTATTAACGACAATGAGAAAGACATCGGGGATCCTTCTCTGTGTCCTCTAGGCTCGAGTCTAAGCTTTGCCACAGCAACTGCTGGCTATCTCAGACCTTGACAGTCCTGTTGGTTGGTGAGTGGTTGTATTGCAGGCTGGCCCAAGGGGAAACTCAGAATAGGACACTCATTTTCTATTCCGACCTCCTGGTTCAGTCTCTTGTCCCTCTTCACGTGCTCTGTTCCATGTACATTCCTTTCTCATTCAGCTACCCTGTGCTGAGTGTCCACTGCAGCCAGCGCTGCCCTGTGCTGGACATGCACAGGACTCTGTCCTTGATGATCCCTTCTCCCAGCTACCTTCCCCGATTCCCAGCCCTCTCCTGCCAAGCTCCTGCCTGCCCTGCTTCACTGTGCTATGGATGACATAATCCCTGTCCCTGTCACCAGTGGAGTCCTCTCGGCAAATAGCATTACACTCAGAGGGCTTAACCAATCAAAAACAAGTACTCCCCACAGACAATGAGCAGGTCTCAGGGCAGGAGAGCAGGCATGTTGATGTCCCCCAGAGTGAGGAAGAACAGGATGCCATGTCTGCCCTAGGCAGAGGCCCAGGGCGTAGCTGGCGTCAGCTCTGGGGAAGGAACAAATGAGCAATACATGCTCCAGCCTCAGTCTCTCCTTCACTCCCTGCTGTACCCACTTGCCCAAATCCCTGGCCAGTACAACCAGGAGGGCACGATTAACTGGCGGCGTTGTTTGCCATAGTTTCATAGTGGATCCAGGTCAGAATGTGCAACTCTTCAGGCTCAGTTTCAAGCCTGGGTGGATGTGAGTGCATGTATGAGTGTGTGTACATGCACGCATATGTGTATGCGTGTATGCGTGTGCATGCATGAGAGTGTGCATGAATGTGTGTATGTTTGAGTGTGTGTGAGTGTTCACGAGAGTGTGTATATAAATATATGTATATATAAGTGAGTATATAAGTGCGTGAATGCATGAATGTGTGAGTGTAAATGCGTGTGTGAGAGTGTGAGTATGTGTATGTGTGTATGAGTGTGTATATTACTGTGTGAGTGGGCATGAATGTGTATGTAAGTGTGTGTGTGCACGTGCATGCGGTGGGGTTGAGCTTAAGTCAGATCTCTGTAAATCAGGCCTTCTAAATAATTAATCCTCGTTCCCTGTTCCTGTGAGTACTTGGAAAACGCTCATCAGACCAGATTAATGCGTTGAGCCGTCTTCCCTCCCCACCCCCATTTCATTCCGGCTAGATTTGAAGCGTGCACAGAGGCCAGGGTGCTTTGCCGATCTAAGTCACTGGACAGTCTCTGGAGCATCTTTTGTTTTCTGTTCCTACAGCAGACCTCAGAGACAGAGACGAGGAGCGCACGACGATGCCCACAAGCAAGGCAGGTATGGCCCGTGATAACAGCGAGCGCCACGACTCCAGCGATTTTCAGCCCTACCCCACGAGGACCAGGAAGAAGCTGGCTTTCCCATCCCTGCCTAGCTCCTTCCTCTGCTCAGCAAGTGTGCTACCTCCCCACATGCCCCACTCAACCTGCACACCACACGATCCACTCAAAGCCTTCTTCCGATCAGGAAAATGTCTTTCAGGCAGGGAATCAGCTGGCTGCTTAGCAGTCTAAATCAGCCAGGTTCTGAAGGGAGGATAGGGCCCTGGCTCCCTGACCTCAGCTTCATGTCTTCTCCTGAACACTAGCGGTTCTTTCAGGGAAGAAGTTAGTAAGGGCGGAGAGCTGAGCAGAGCAAGCCTCTGGAAGGCAGTCAGTCAGGGGGAGGCTACCACACCTGAGCCAGCCACTGGGAAGGTAATGCACCCGAGCGGGGCTCTCAAGTGTTCCCTCCTGTCTTTCAACATCCTCAGCCCAGACCCCTGCGCCAGACCCACAAGGGCCTGTGAGGTTCCGGGATCTAGGTTCTAATGAGCCCCCAATCAAGTGTGGGAGGGTCTGTACTGGGGGCAGAACATATGGGGAGGCTCTCAGAGGGGACATGGCTGGCATCTGCATCTGGAGCTGGGAAGATGGTTAGTTAGTTATGAGGATCCCTAGGATTATGCTGTTGGGTAATGAAGAGTTTCAAGTGTCACTTACTGTAGGGACAGAGAACCCAGAGCAAGTCATGTGTCTGCTGTGGGAAGACTGGTCAGAGGAGGCAGTATGCAGTGGGATAAGGGGTACAGGGGACTTCCATGTGGGAAAATACAAGGCATATTATTAAATGAGGGAGAAGCAAGATAAAGAAGCATTCATATAACATTAACTGTATAAGGAGAGAAAATAATCCTATATATAAGTACTTACATATTTCTGTAACAAACTCTGTCTAGACAAGGAAGCAATAATACAAGTTTCTGTGGATGAGGGGTAGGTCAGTAGAATTAACTGCATGTTTAATTTTAAAAAAATATTTTATGTGTATGGGTGTTTTGCCTGAATACTATGTGCATGTAGTGCCTATGGAGGCCAGAAGAGGGCGTCAGAATCCCTGGACTCATGTGGGTGCTGGGAATAGAACCCGGGTCCTTTGGAAGAACAGCCAGGGCTCTTTACTGCTGAGCCATTTCTCCAGGCCCTACCTGCATTGGAGAGATAGAGAGATTGTCAAACACTGAAAACACATCACACATTTAGGAATAAACAGATAAAAAGACAAAAATAGGTAAAAGTGTCCCTACAAGCAATTCAGAAGCATTTTCCCTGGAAACACGATGTGAGGGTGTTCACCCTCCACAGAATGACCACAGAAAGGCAAGGGTGTGAGGCTCAGCCATACACAATTGCTTCTCCTCCAGTCAGCCTTCCCTCAGCGTCTCAGGCATTTTGAAGGAGTCTGGCTTACCATTCAGACCAGCTCCGGCAGGTGTCAGCTTTGGTTATATGTTAAATCGGTGAGTTCCTTTCCCCTTCGGTTCTAGCGATAGAACCCAGGGCTATGCCCATGCTGGCCAGCGTTCCACCACTGAGCTATACCCCCAGCCTTGGGAAACTTTAAAAAATACCAGTTGCCAGCCCCTTAAATTAAAAAAAAAATACCAGTTCCCAGATGATAATCAGGATATCCGAGGCAGTGCCTGGCATTGCTATTTGAGAAGCCCCTCTGTGTGGCTGGGGACCGCAATCTTGGAACTTCCAGGTCCGTTTCTTTATCCAGAAAATTAGACAAAGGAAGAGAGGAGGCTCAGTGGCTCTCAGGAGAGCAAGCACACCCCAGGAAACCTGCCAAGGGCAGGAAGATGACAGATGGCTATGGCTCTGACCGGCCTTGGTTAGCACATTTATGTGATCAACCTGCTTTTCCTTCTGTGGCAGCCCAATTCTGAGACGAAGCTCCGACATCACCAAGTCGCCTCTCACCAAGTCAGAGCAGCTGCTGAGGATAGATGACCATGATTTCAGCATGAGGCCTGGCTTCGGAGGTATGAGGTGTATGCTCAAGGGTGGGGCTCCTCTTCATTTCTGGGATTCTTCGTCTGCACCCAGGTCTGCTTATCATATCTGCCTTAGCTGAGCATGGTGGGCTGAGCACCTTCTGAGTGTCTGCCCTTCATGCCCCTTCTCTGCCGGGCATTGCCAGAGTACCTGCTGATGTGTAGCCAAGCAAGGCCAGCCAGCTGCCCCAGGGCAGTGCTCGTAAGAAGCCTCACTGAAGGTCAGTGAGACCGAGGCTGCCACAGGAAGGCAGGGCAGAGGCAGCCAGGGCTGCCTCCTGAGGATGCTCTGAAATCTCACGCAATAACCTTGAGCTGGCTTGGTTCTCACCGGGAGTTGGCAGATGAGCCCCACTTACACATCCGAGTCCTGTCTGCAGGGTTTAATGAATGAGAAGGAGCTCGAGAAAGGGAAAAAAGGGTTCACTGCGGAACGGGGTCTGAGGTTTAACGGCTGCCAGGCTTCAGCCCTCTGTCAAAGGGCGCTCTCTCTCTCTCTCTCTCTCTCTCTCTCTCTCTCTCTCTCTCTCTCTCTCTCTCTCGCTCTCGCTCTCGCTCTCGCTCTCGCTCTCGCTCTCTCTGTGTCTGTCTGTCTGTCTCTGTCTCTGTCTCTCTGCCCCTGTGTGTTTAACATTTATTTACTGATTTTGGGGATGGTGCGGCGTGCACATCACAAAATGTGTGGCGGTCAGAGGACAACTTGTGGAGGTTGGCTCTTTCCATCATGTGGGCTCTGGGACTCCAACCCAGGGTCTTCAGGTTTGGCAGTGAGCAGCCCCACCTGCCGAACCATCTCACTGACCTAGGTTTGGTTTCTTCCTGGAGAAAAATATATTTTACGCCTGTGTGTATGTGTGTTCATGTGTAGGCAAACCCACGTATGTAGGTGTGGGTGTGGATGGATGCAGAGACCAGAGGACACCTCCTGTGCCATCCGCAGGAATGCTGTCTATCTCCTTTGAGACAGTCTCTCATTGTCCTGGAGCTCACAAGCTAGGCTAGACTGGCTGGCCAGTGGGCCCCAGAAATCATCCTGCCTCTGCCTCCCCAGAACTGCAGTACATAACATCGTATCTAGTATTTCTACATGGGTTCCCGGATCAAACTCAGGTCTTCATGCAGGCGAGATCAGAAGTTCTTAGTGACTGAGCCCTCCCTCCAGGCCCTAGAAATAAATTTCATGCCTTTCATTTTTTTCTAGTCATGATTACCTCCACCTTAACGTCCCCCCCAACAAACCAATACCCCAAGTTCTAGAAAAGTCTTTATTCTCTTTGTCATAGGTAAGCTATTGGATCAAGTCCCACCTCTTTGTGTCATGGTAACTGGACCACACCCTATACCTAATCCACATAAGAGCAAGCAAGCTCTTATTCTCTGTCAATACTAAGTTTTAATGGCCTGGAAATAACAACAAATATGTAATGTTTTGATTTAAGACCATTCTGGCACGGCATATCTTTGCTGGAAGCTTCTTCACCATGTAACAAAGATACAGATCTGTGGGTAGGACAAATGATGTGAATATGACCAGTTCTGGTACCATTACCAAGAAATGGGGTTCTCGTGGCTAAGTGAGAGCCAAAGGCTTCCAAGATCAAAGGGGGTGCAAATGGAGAAAATTCAACAGGCACTCTCATGCTAGGGAGCATGCTGATGTTCCTTAGACCAGACCCTGACTCAGCTTTGAGCTTTAGCACAGCTTCAAATGAACAAGTGGAACCAGAAAGGGATGGTCTGTACTAACTTCATCATTCGGGGGCTGGAAAGATGGCTCAGTGGTTAAGAACACTGGCTACTCTTCTAAAGGACCCAGGTTCGATTCCTAGAGCCACAGGGAAGCTCATAATGGTCTATAAGTCTAGTCCTAGGGGATCCGATGCCCTCTTCTGGCTTCCGTGGACTCTAGGCATACCTGCAGGCAAAAACATTTGTACACATAAAATAAAATAATCTACTCTCATCATCCCACGAAGGACAAAGCATTTTTATTACTTTTTGGAGTATGTATGTGTGTGTGGGGGATTTCAGGGGGCCAACCATGAAGCTGTTCTTTTAGTTCTTATTTGACTGCAGGCAGGTATGACCAAACCTTCCCATGTTGGGCTCTGGCATGACGGACACACGTTTGCACACCTCTTCCACAGTAGAAGTTCAAGCAAAGAGAAAGACTTTCAGCAGGATGTGATAGAATAGTCCTATAATCCTAGCTCTTTGGAAGCTGAGGCAGGAGGATTGAGAGTTTGAGATCAGCCTGGGCTACATAGCAAGGCTCTGTCAGAAAAAGAAGAAGGAGGAGGAAGAGGAGGAGGAGAAGGAGGAAGAAGAAGAAAAATAGAAGGAAGGAGGGAGGGAGGGAGGGAGAGGAGTTGTAAGAAGGGAGAGAGGGAAAAAAAAGAGAGAACAGAGAGAACGATTGAACACACGCTCCTGTCACACCCTCCCCAGGCCCGGCCATTCCCGTGGGTGTGGATGTGCAGGTGGAGAGCCTGGACAGCATCTCCGAGGTCGACATGGTGAGTGTTTCTCTGACCAGGGCTCTGGGCAATGGGGGCTCATGTGGACCTGTCTGGGCAAAAACTCTACACCATTGAGTCCCCCCTAACTCCTAACTCCTTGGCAGATGGGAACTGTCACAGTCACTTCGCAGATGACTCACAGACATCATGTCATTTGTTCAGAGTTCCCAGTTGGTATGAGATAGGGCCAGGAGACAAACTTGATCTTTATCCTCCAGCATGGATGCCTTGTGAGACACAGGCCCTCTGCATTTCCACGGAATCTACGTCTTGCTCTAGAAACCTGAACAGTGGGACTATTCCTTTTTGCTTTTCAGTGGGTTCCAATTTTTAAAAAATGTTGCCAGAGCCAGGCAGCGATGGTGCACGCCTTTAGTCCTAGTACTCGTGAGGCAGAGCCAAGAGGATCTCTGTGAGTTTGAGGCCAGCTGGTCTATGGAGCGAGATCCAGGATAGGCACCAAGGCTACACAGAGAAACCCTGTCTCAAAAAAAACCAAAACCAAACCAAAACAACAACAACAAAAACAAAAACAAAAAAATGTTGCCAGCTAGGCGTGGTGGTGCATGTCTTCAAGTCAACACCCAAGAGGTGGAGGAGGCTCACCTTGGGTTTTAGACCAGCCTGGTCTTCTATATAGGAAGCTCCATACCAGCCTGGGCTACACAGTGAAACCCTATCTCAAAAATTTTAACGATAGCATGGGTTGGGGGTGGGAAGCATTCTACAAGTTAGGAGACTTTTTAAAAGTCTGCCTTGGCCTGGAGCCTCCAAGAAGCAGGCTGGAAAGAAGTGTTCTAGTCCGGCAATGCCAAGACAGAATGAGAGAGTGAGACAGGAAGTGAGCAAACAGCACAGTGTTCTCAAGCAAGCCACTCCTCAGCCCTCCTCCCACAGCGTTCTCCAGGAAGCAGCGAGGAACACAGCCCAGGCTAGCCCGGCTCAGGGCCTGGCAGCTGGACTGCTTTCTCCAGCTGAGGTGCTCACTGCTCTAACACTGGCGCTTCCAGCTTGAGTCGCTGCTGTCAGGGGGCAGTTGTCATGGAGACGGTGGATGTCATGGGTGGGTGGAGTTCATGGGCAGTCTGTCCTAGGTCCCTTGTTGGGTTCCTCTCTGCCTTCTCCAGTGCCGATGCTCAGCCCACTGGCTTCAGGTGCGGTCCCCACTGGTGATGGCTCACACAGTGGGTGGGTATCTGTGTTTCCGCTGTCTCCACCTGCAGGACTTCACCATGACACTCTATCTGAGGCATTACTGGAAGGATGAGCGGCTGTCTTTCCCGAGCACCAACAATCTCAGCATGACATTTGATGGCCGGCTCGTAAAGAAGATCTGGGTTCCCGACATGTTCTTTGTGCACTCCAAGCGCTCCTTTATCCACGACACCACGACAGACAATGTCATGCTGCGGGTACAGCCCGATGGGAAAGTGCTGTACAGCCTCAGGTGGGAACAGAGGCAGGCTGGGACTGAGAGCTTAGGCCTTGCCCGAATATTTTCATTTTTAAGTGTTTAATGAATTAAATTTTTATTTTGTGTTATGTGTATGGGTGTTTTGGTTGCATGTGTGATTGGATACCACATGTGTGCCTGCGACGGCCAGAAGAGGGTGTCAGGTCCCCTAGGCCTGGAGTTACGGACTGTTGTGAGCTGCCATGTGCGTTCTGGGGATCAAATTCAGATCCTCTGCAAGAGCAGTCAGTGCTTTTAACCGCTGAGCCATCTCTCCAGCATGAAAGTGTGCCTAATTTAAAAAAAAAGTTTATTTTCCTAGTAAGAGTCAGGGAAATAAAATAAATAAATAAACATGTGTTTTCTGAGGCTCAGACACATGTCTTCCTCTCTCCGAGTCCCATGTTTGGGGTATGTTTTTAAGAACTTAGGTTTAAATAGATTCTTTTGCCTTGCCTGGCCAACATAGTTTCCATCCTGAAACACCATGGGACTCTGGACTACCTGATGACAATGTCATTCTGAGCATCACGTTTACAATGTCAAGAATAAGATCTAGGGCCGGGGGTGTGCAGTTCGGTGACAGAATGCTTGCTTAGCAGATATGAGACCCTGGGTCCCACCAGCACTGCCAAAAGGAGAAAAATAGAAAAGAAGGAAGGGGGAGGGAGAGAGGGAGGGAGGGAAGGGGAGAGAGAGAGACAGAGAGAGACAGAGACAGAGAGACAGAGAGAGAAAGAGAGAGAGAGACAGAGAGACAGAGGGAGAGGGAGAGGGAGAGAGAGAGAGAGAGAGAGAGAGAGAGAGAGAGAGAGAGAGAGAGAGAGAGAGAGAGAGAGATCTCCTCAGGGGCTCAGACTTGGGAGTGTTAACTGCCAGTAGACCCTGCCCCTACAATGGCCTTTGTACAAGGACAGCTACAGTCTGGTGGTCAGGGAAGACCAAGCTCAGACTCTCACAGAAGGGAGTGGTCACTGCCTGGGATTGGCTCCCATATACCATGTGGATGGTGTGTTTCAGGTTGACATACTTTGATCTGGGCTCACGTGTTGAAGAATGGCAAAGACAAACCCGTGTTCTAATTAATGTCAAAGTTGAATTCCTGCCCCAGTGTCCCGGGAATATGTGTTATGATCCCCGGTCCTGTCCTGACTTGGATCTAAGCAGTGCAGGTACAGGATTTTCATCTCCTTGTTTGGAAGTGCATCTCCTGTAGGGCATCCTCAGAGAGCTCATGGATCCTCAGTGCCTTCTCTAGTAATATCAGCCTGGTTCTCTCTGGAATCCTCATTTCTGAGCATCTTAAGACACCTCATTTCAAGATAAAATTCTCAGATAAACCAATATAGCTCTACAGTCCTGTAGAATTGCAGAGAACCAGACCATCACACCTATAACCACTGGTGTAAAGTTAACATTTATCAACTGCTTGTCAGGAGCAGTGTGTGTGTGTGTGTGTGTGTGTGTGTGTGTGTGTGTGTGTGCATGCACACGTGAGTTATTATAAATATTGCTGCTATAAAGGATGCTGTGATGCTTAGTTTTAATCGTCAACATGACACAATTTAGAATGGTCTCAGAAGAGAGTCTCAGTGAGGATTTGTCTGGATCAGGTTGGTCTGTAGGAAATTATCTTAATTATATTCATTGATATGGGAAGACCCACCCACCTCCTGTGGGCAGCCCCTTTCCCTGAGATGGGGTCCTGGGCTGAATAAAAAGAGAATTAGCTGAGCACTGAGGTGCATGCATTGTTCACTGCTCTCTGCTCTTGGCTGTGGAGTGTTGTGACCAGCTGCTTCACCTTCCTGCCCCACCCCCACCCCTTTTTATTTCTGCACAGGAATGGAGATAACCTGGGACTGTGAGACAAGTGACCCCCTTCCGCCCTAAGCGGCCCTTGTTGAGGTCTTTTGTCACAGCAATGGGAAAGAGAACTAAGATGGAAGCATCTGGTCTACCAGTGAAATAAAATACATGGCACTCCTTACCTATAACTTCCATGTACTTTAACAACACCGTTTTCTACTATTTTTATGGGAAACCATTTACCAGTTTTTGTAATTCTGCCATCAACAAAAGTTCTGTAAAGTGAGACCACAGTAAACACAGCAAGAGTCTGCTTGTTTAGCTGACAAATGAGTGTAGATCAATGCTTTTTTTAAAAAAAAAATATTTATTTATGTTTATGAGTGCTCTATCCGCACGTACACCTACACACCAGAAGAGGGCATCTGATCTCACTACAGATGGTTGTGAGCCACTATGTAGTTGCTGGGAATTGAACTCAGGACCTCTGGAAGAGCAGCCAATGCTCTTAACCGCTGAGCTATCTCTCCAGCCTTCAATGCTTTTGTTAATGTTAATAAGTAAGAAGTGAGATAAGGAAGAATTATGTAGGACTTTACTCACTTGCCCAAGATGTACACACTCTACTTCCTGATTTGGGTACAGCTCTCAAATACTGGATGAATAACTCCTGAACATCCATACCATTTTAAACACATATATTAGATGCTTTTTTCTCTTTGTTTACTTGCTTTTATTTTTCCCATACAATATATTTTAATCCTGTTCTTTCCCTGCCCCAGCTCCTCTCAGCTCCCCAGCTCCCCACCTCCCTACCCATCCAACTTCATGTTCTTTCTCTCTCTCTAAAAACAAAACAAAACAAAAACTATAAAAATCGAAACAAAATCCACTAAGACAGAAACTACCTAAATGAAACAAAAAGTGCACACAAATACGTAGATTCCATTTCGTGTTGACCAAGTACTCCTGGGTAAGGGGCGTGCCCTGAAGTGTGGTTGATGTACTCAGTGACACTCTGTCAGAGAACACCGATTTTCCCTTTCCTAGCAGCTATCGATTGCAAAAGCTCCTTGGTTAGTGGTAGGGCATTCTTTCCTCTCTCAGTGCTGGGATTTTGTCTGGTTTGAACTTACAGAGGTCTTGTGTGTGCTGTCACGGTCTCTGTGAATCAGTTCTGTAATGTCTAGAAAATCGTTTCTTTGGAGTCATCCACCACTCTGCCTCTTATAACATCTTCTGCATAGATACCTGAGCCTTGGGGGGAGGGAGGTGTTGATAAAGACATTCCTTTTAGGGCTAAGTGCTCCAAAGTCTCTCACTCTCTGTACATTGTTTGTGGGACTCTGTTAACTGCTGTCTACTGCAGGCTTCTCAGGTGAGGACTGAGTGAGGCGCTGACCTATGGGTATGGCAGAATGTCATCAGGAGTCATTTTATTGCTATGTCCCTTTAGCAGAATAATAATAGTAAGGTTTCCCCTAGGCCCAAAGCTATCTAGTCTCAGATTTTTCACCACTTACCAGTGTCAGATGTGAATTCCACTGCTCTGCAATGTCCTACTAGACACAAGTAAGTGCCATCAACATCTAACAGTGCACAGCTAACAGTGTACTAATGTCATTAAGAAGCAGCGAGCTCTGAGTAGTTATTAGTGAGGGAAATATTATTAGTGAGGGAAATATTTGGATACTTCTGTTTTGGGAATATTCATTCTTTCAACAATCATTTAAATGAAAAGTATGTATGTGTGTCTTTAACACTGTTATGCTGACATTGCATCTCCAGATCCTTGGAATGTGCTGGTGTTAGCAGAGACACTCAATCGCCTTGCACAGATCCTAACGTTAAACATAAATCCTTGAGAGGACTTTCCTGATGTCAACGCGCTGCTTAGGGACTGGAGAAAGGAAGCGGGGCCTTTTCTGTCTGCCTATCATTTCGCATCTGTCTTCAGCAGGTGCTGAAGCCATGTGTCTTTTTGTTTCTAGAGTCACAGTAACGGCGATGTGCAACATGGACTTCAGCAGGTTCCCCCTGGACACGCAGACCTGCTCCCTGGAAATTGAAAGCTGTGAGTAGGTGCAGCCTGGCACCAGCACTTCTAAACACCTCTCTGGTTGGCAGGTGACAGTTCTCCCAGGACCTCTGCTCTGCTTTCCCTGCCTTTCACCTCCTGGCATCAGGCTCTCCTGGGTGACCTGGCATGATCTCCTTTACCCAAAGCCTACCAGTTCAAATGCTAGTCACCTCTAGAAAACACCTTTACAGGCTAGTATCTGGTTTGATATCTGTGTGTATCAGAGCCGAGCCATCGACACGTGAGGTCTCCTATCACACAGCCAAGGCTTAGCGAGTCCTCAGAAGACCAGATTGTACATAGGCAGATGCTACCTGCAGCTCCAAGAGGTTTCACCTCAGTTACGTCCAGCAGCACACGTGCTCCTGCAGTTGGACACAGTGGCCTCTCCTGAAGGGGGTGTGCTGGGCACGTGGCAGCCTCTGAGAGGGTGGTGACCACAGTCATTCCCACCTTATTTTGAGGAAGTGGGCACAATCGCCTGAGGAAAAGCCCATCCTTCACTCATGCTGCCTGAGAGTGAGTCACACTCTGGCCCTCAAGTGGTGAATCATTACCCTGTACAAAAGAAGAAAGAGCTGATTGGGTCCTAATCTATAAAGCCGAGCCACAGGAAATCTTGCCAGTATTGAACTATCTCTGCCCTACAAGCAACACTATCGTTTGGTTTAACCTAGCTATTGCAGCTGGATTGTGGGGTGAGGCTTTTTGTAGAAACCGTGAGCCCTTGAACTCAGAAGCCTTGCTCTGACAACTTTTGAGAAACTGGGACAAACTAGAGTTGTCTGTCTGTATTGTTTAGATTGCAGTTTACTATCTTACTGCAAGCCAAGTAGTCTGTGTGGCTTAGGACCCAGTGTCACACAGCCCACAGGCGGGTCTGGCTTGACTGTCGCCCTGTGCCTGACACTGGCTCTCATCTTCCCAGATGCCTACACAGAAGATGACCTCATGCTATACTGGAAAAAAGGCAACGACTCCTTAAAGACAGATGAGAGGATCTCCCTCTCCCAGTTCCTCATTCAAGAATTCCACACCACTACAAAACTAGCCTTCTACAGCAGTACAGGTGAGCTCTGAGCATGCGCTAAGTGCCAGGGAGGCTTCGTCTTGGCCAGATGCTTCAGGCTCTATTTAGGAAGTGTGTGATTTGGTTGTCATACCAAGTGAACAGAGCTTTGAAACAGAAGAGCAGAGTCTTAAATGAAGTCTAGTGGGTAGTATGAATAGGGTGGGGGTGGGGTGACTTGTTTTCCTTTGAGACAGGGTCTACTCCATTGTCCATGCTACCCTGAACTCATTATATACTATGCATTCAGGCTGGTGAAATCATTGTATACTATTGTATCCAGGCAGGTGAACTCATTACACACTATGTATCCAGGCTGGTGAACTCATTACACACTATGTATCCAGGCTGGTGAAATCATTGTATGCTATTGTAGCCAGGCAGGTGAACTCATTACACACTATGTATCCAGGCTGGTGAACTCATTACACACTATCACTATGTATCCAGGCTGGTGAAATCATTGTATACTATTGTAGCCAGGCAGGTGAACTCATTACACACTATGTATCCAGGCAGGTGAACTCATTATACACTATGTATCCAGGCTGGTGAACTCATTACACACTATGTATCCAGGCTGGTGAACTCACTGTATACTATTGTACAGGCTGGTGAACTCACTATACACTATATATCCAGGCAGGTGAACTCATTACACACTTATGTGGCCAGGCTGGTGAACTCATTATATGTTATGTATCTAGGTTGGGCCTCTGGCTCAGTATCACCAGTGCTGGGGTTATAGGTATGCTCCAAGGCAACTAGCTCTGTAGGTCATTTTTGACCCACCAATGTGTCAGAGATAATTACCTGGGAAATATTAGCTCAAAGGTAAGCCATGAGAGTAGGTTTATTTGAGATGATTGCCTCATTAAGTTGGCACTACATCCCTGAAATGCTCATCAGAGTCTCTATAGAAACAAACAAGTTTCATTCCGACTGCTGTTGTCTGTCTCCCTGGCTGGGTGTGCCACTCCCACCCACGCCCCTCAGAATGACCCTGGTCATCATGTGGACCCGGCTGTGGCCTTATGAGTCAAAGGTCTGTACAGGCCCTGTCCCCTCCTGGTGCTCGAGGCTGTGCTCTGTGGCCTTCCCCAGCTGCTGGCCTGTGCTGGGAAACAGCTAAGGGTTGACATTCTCCATCCCTTGCTTCTGTTTTGATCACTCACTTTTCAGAAGGTTCTGCAGGCTCCCTTGCTGGCCCTCCACCTTGTGAGCAGTCCTGACCCATTAGAGAGCACTGGAGGTCAGTTTAGTGTGGCCATCCAACTCAAACGCTGACTCACTCACCCTTGACGCTTAGTTATTTGGGTCGCAGTCTTCTGAAAGTCCTTCTGCAGTCACTTGCTGGTACCAAGAGGCATGTCCCATGCAATGTACTCACTGGACACCGAATCCTGAGTTATCACTGCCAGGGCTCACTGATTCTCAGCCCTGGGCACCCTCCTCACACACATTGCTTCTCGTGAAAACCACACGGGCAGAGTAAAGCACAGTAGACCAGTAACTGTTACTCTGTGCCTAGATACAAGACTATTTATACCTCAAAACATAGTTCTTCCCATAAAAAAAATCCAGAAAGGGAGCCAGGCATAGGGATATTCACCATCATCCCAGCACTTGCAAGGTAGAACAGCGGGTTCAGGAGTTCAAGGCCATTCTCAGCTACAATGTGAGTTTGAGGCCAGCCTGGGCTACCTAAAACCCTGCCTCAAAATAAATAAATAAATAAATAAATAAATAAATAAATAAATGAATGAATGAATGAATGAATAAATAAATGAATAAATAAATAAATAAGAGAGAAAAGAAAAAGGAAAGAAGTAAAGGGAACTGTTTAAGTCACTGCCTCGAGCTTTGCTATGCACACAAACCACATGAGTCTGCCGCTCAAGAAAGACTCTGCTCCAGCGGTCTGGGCTACAGCTTAGGAGTCTGGTAGGAGACAGGGAGGGAAGAAGGGAAGAAAGGGGGAGAAAGGAAGGAAGGCAGAGGGGGCCAACATCAAGGCCTTGTGCTTGCTGGCCAAGGACTCTACCCATGAGCTATAGCTGAACTTCTAAGAAGCTCCCATGTGACTGTGAGGCTGGTCATAGTTTGAGAAATCAGATTTTCTCAAGGGGTTCCCTTTGTGTTTATGAAGGGGACACAGATTCCTTACAGTGAGTTCACACAAGTCATAAGGGTCACCACATGTCACTGCCACTGTTTAAGGTATGGTTCCAGTGTGAGATCTAAGACACAACTGGACAAATAGAACTTGTTTTCTGAAGAAGTCAAGCAACTATGTTGCACGCTCTCTCTTCTTCCTTTGCCCCCAGGCTGGTACAACCGTCTGTACATCAACTTCACTTTACGTCGTCACATCTTCTTCTTCTTGCTCCAAACCTATTTCCCTGCCACCCTCATGGTCATGCTGTCCTGGGTGTCCTTCTGGATTGACCGCAGAGCTGTGCCTGCCAGAGTCCCCTTAGGTAAGGACCATCTCAAGTGTGTATTATGTGTCTGAAAATCCAAGGCATTCCTTCCATCCTTCTCAAGCAGGTCCTGTACTCCTCTTCACAGTGTAACTCGGAAATGAGTCAAGGTACTGATTCAAGTAGCACCACACAATCTAAGTGCCACATGGGAATCTGTCCAGGCCCCCATGGCTGTCCGTCCAAGCAGCTCACTGTGGTCTTGGGCAGGGGGCTCCCAGTCTTTGGGTGTTTTCCCTGCTGGTCCGTATAATGTATTTTGCAACAGTGTTTCTCAAAGATGACCCAACAGATCTTTGCAATAAAATCCTTGAGGGAATTATGAAAAGTCTTGGATTTCATCATATCTGCAGTCAGAATCCCTGAGTTTTCTTGCACCCCCTCACTTCCTTTCTCAGCACCCCACCAAACATCCTTATCTTAAACACGGAGCCCACTCAGTCACGACCACCGCTACAGCTCAGACAGCTCAGGCTACAAGTGACAGGGTGACCCACCAGGCTTCAGTGAAATGGTTTGGAGCTGGCCCTTAGGGGAACCTCAATCCTCTGTGATTTAATGTTTTCCGAGCAAATGTTCTGAGCTTAATTTGCAATCCTGGGCAAACTTCCACAGATGATGCCCATTCTCCAGCAGTTAGCTGCCACTCCAACAGCTACAGTGCTGAGCTTGAGTGTTCTCTCGTATTGAAGTCTGTCTCCTATACATAAAACGAGCCTCATAAAACTAATGTCAGGGTGCTCAAGGCAGTCCTGCTGGATGGGCACACAGGTCCAGTGTGTGTGTGTGGGGGGCTGTCATCTGGAGAGACAGGCCCGGGATGACAGAACTCTCATGACACCAAGGACGCAGTGTTGAAATAAACCTCATGCCTTCCTTCACCACGTGGTTGCTTAGATCTCTATGTCCTTTCTTTAAAGAATGGAAGGAAATACCTCCGTGCCAAAAGCCTGGTGCTTTCTGCAGAAAGGATGTGATTTGGCACTGTAATGGATATGACAGGTGTGCAGAGGAGGAAGGTGGAGATGAGGGGCAGAGGGGCAGGGAGAGAGTCATGACAGCTAGCTCTCAAAGACAGGAGGAATTCTCCAGAAGGGAGCAGGTCCTGGCCGTCCAAGCCAAGGCCGAACAAAAGACAGGGACACCGAGGGACAAGGCCTACAGCATTTGGTAAAAGCAAGCACGTGCTTATTTCTCACCGTTTATGGCAGGCATCACCACGGTGCTGACCATGTCCACCATCATCACAGGCGTGAACGCCTCCATGCCCCGAGTGTCCTACATCAAAGCCGTGGACATCTACCTCTGGGTCAGCTTCGTGTTCGTGTTCCTCTCGGTGCTGGAGTACGCGGCTGTCAACTACCTGACCACGGTGCAGGAGCGGAAGGAACGGAAGTTCCGAGAGAAGGTGACTTTACCGTGACATCGAGGGGGCGGGGCTAGCCTTGGGACTGTGGGCAGGTCCCCCCTCCCTGTAAAAGGGGTTCTGATAGCCTCTGCTCTGCTTACTTCCAACCATGGTCAAGAATATTTGACGTTTACATCTTTCATTCAGTAAAAGTTTTCATTCAGCATCTACATCCCAGCAGCCACTACACCAAATTAAGACATGGTCCCTTTCATTGTGGTTGTATTCAGAGTTTAGTGAGAGAATCCCAGGAGGGAAATAAATGATAATTTGATGCTGTGGAACATATTATTAATAAATAAGGAGGTGATTTAAAAGACCCCCCCAGGAGCAACCATACTGCCTCCTAAGAATCTTCCCTTCATACATGACCCCCATCTCCCATCATTTCTTAAGTTGTATTTCCTCCTGCCCTTCCTCCCCTTTCCCAGCCTACAGTTTAGAGACTCTCTCTTCCAGCCATACCTCGCCATATACTATTCCGCAAGTGCTGTCTTTCAGTCCCAGCCCTCATGACAAACACCGAATAATGTCATCGGTAAACATTTTAATGAAAAGTTTGCTGCCGGGTGTGGTGGTGTCATGAACCTGTGATCCAGTTACTCAGGAGGGAGTCACAAGTTGGAGGCCAGCCTGGGTAACTTAGCAAGACCGTCTCAAAAGGAAAAAAGGGGTAGGTCAGGATAGCACTCTTGTCTAACATGTCCAAGGCCCTGGGTTTGTCCCCACTGTCCCCAAAGGGGACACGGAGGACAGGGCTAGCCGTTGCTAGTCTTGTTGGTCTCTGGTACAACAGTGTGCTCTTTCCTACAAGCCAATGTGTAGATATTAGTTCAACACCCAGTTCTCATCACCACCATGCCAGCGCTCGAACCCTGATCTTGAGGCTGCTGGTTAGTTCCTGACACAGTGTTGTGCTCACAGCTGTCTTAGGATGTTTACATCATCATTTTTCTTATTTTCCCCCCAAAACTGAGACTAAAAGAGGCTGGAGGGTAACCCCCTTCACACACAGTGCTTTGGCGGGCCTCTGAGGAACGGTGCTCAGCTCACATGCCCCTGTGTGTCTGCAGATCTCCTGCACCTGCGGACTACCCCAGCCCCGAGCAGTGATGCTGGATGGCAGCTACAGTGACGGGGAGGTGAATGACCTGGGTGGCTACATGCCTGAGAATGGAGAGAAGCCTGACAGGATGATGGTGCAGCTGACCCTGGCCTCCGAGAGGGGCTCTCCCCAGAGGAAAAGCCAGAGAGGCAGCTATGTGAGCATGAGGATCAACACGCACGCCATTGATAAATACTCCAGGATCATTTTCCCAGCCGCTTACATCTTATTCAATCTGATATACTGGTCAATTTTCTCTTAGATGCCTGTGATTCTGTCAATCTCACCTTCTTCGTGGTTTGTATGCACTACAGAAATTGCTGTAAAATGAAACAGGATGGTTGAAAAACCATCCCGGTACCCACCTGGATTTTCACTGTCTCTTCTTCAGCTGTCCAAAGCTGCACTGACAAGACACCCTTTTTTTTTTTGCATTTATTATTTTGCAATCAGCATTATACAAGGTGTTTCAGGAATTTGTCATGATAGCCACTGATATTAGCTGTCCCCAGGTCCCAGGAAGAGCATAGAGGCCACATGTGGACATGCTGCAATTCAGTGCTGGGGTCCTGGATGCTGTTCACAGGGAGGGCTTCCTTCATGGGTGGCACTGTGTTCTTTAGACTATGTAGAACTGGGGAGTACCTGAATCAAACCTATTTGCATGGAGCCCACATGCACATGAATCCCTTCTGATGAAAGGCCCTACTTCAGTCTGTCCCTGCACCTGTTCTGTATCCCTTATAGTTAATGAAAGGTAATGATGCTCATGTTCCAGTCTCTCCCTCTATCCACTCTGCATCCTCCACAGTTAATGAAAGGCAGTGATGCTCAGGACCTCTCTAACAAGCTGTAGATATCTCCCCTTATAAGACATGCTCTTTAGACTGTTGACTTTTCCCTGGTAAAGAATGGAATTCTCTCCATTCTTCTGAATAATCAGCATTTCAAGGAAACTTGGGATGCTTATAGCTCATAAGAATGAGAAGCACACAATTTCTTAAGAGAAAATAGCATTAAAAATCAAAAGAAACAGACAGACATCTGCGTTGCCACTCAGCAAGAGCCAGCACTGTCTAGGAACTAGACATCAGTTGTCATCTAGACAGAGCATGCAGCAGACCAGATAAAGTGGTCAGTGGCAACTGATGTCATGGGTTGTAATTTGATGTATTATTTTAAAACAATGTTTAAAAAACAAGCCTTTGTGTTATCTATCTAGAAGATCTATAACAACTCCAACCAGACTTCCCCAAACAGCATTTACAGTATGGCATTTTCTCTGGGCCTCATCTTTCACTCACAGAGACAGCGAGTCTATTCAACACTCATTCACATCCCAGTAGCCACTAAGCCAACTTAACTAAGGACATGGCCCTTTAATTGTGGTTGTGTTCAGAGCTTAGTGAGACATAATGATAATTTCACATTGTGGAACATGTTAATAAATATGGAGGTGGTCTAAGAGACCCCTCCAGGGACCACCGTCCTCTGTGCCAGGAAAGTTCCCTTCCTATATGTCCTCAGATCTCCCCATCATTTCAGAGTTAACTTGACAGACCAACCCTAACTAATATGTGCATGGCTAATCTTTATTCTGATTTTTAAAAAGAACTATTTGCAAACTCCTACTTAGAAGATAGTCTTTCACTTCCCACAATGAAAAGTCACCAAAAGCTTTCTTCAAACTCAAGTAGTAAACTTAGAAGGACATAAATTAAATAATTGATTATCATTGATATTAAAAATGACTGTTGTTTTGACAGTCATGGTTTGCACTTGTCTCAACACTTGGAAGCAGGAGTGAGAGGACCTGGAGTTCAAAGCGGGGCCATAGCTTTACAGCATATTGGGGGCCATCCTGGGCTACGCGAGGTTTAAAAAGACTGCTTTTTCATTTTTATTTTATGAAACAATTACCTTTAAAGTCAACATCTTTGCCACTGTCTTCTCCCTCACCACTAGGGCCACTGAGCTGTCTAGGTTTCCAGATCAAAGCTAAACCTTACCTACTGTTTGGTATACTCCAGCATTTGAGTCAGTGTGTAGAATGCTCTCCTAGTCTGCTAACCTGCTGCGTCAAGGACTGCAGACCAAATGGCCTGATTAACAGAGATTTCTTTTCTTACAGTTCTAGAGACTAATGTCCAAGGTCAAGGTGCTGGCAGATGTGGTTTCCCCAGAGGCTTCTCTCCCTGACTTTCCAATGGCCACCATCTTGCTGTACGCTTGCCTTCTTTCCTTTGTGCCCACCTATGTCCTTTTCTCCCTACTTATATTTGGTCAGGGCCCATATCAGTGGCCTCATTTAACCCGAGTTCTTTCTTTAGAAGCCTGTCTCCAAACCATTTGTTCTATAGCAATCTCCCCCAGGTTGGAATACTTTATTTTGGAAGGAAGCTCCTTAGGATGTGCTAAAAGAAGGTGATGTCCTCCATCCCACAGGAAGAAGCCCATTTAGGTTAAGCTCAGGAAACAAACAACTCAAAAGTTTCAGGAAATCCCTGAAACCAAATAGATAAACTATCGCCCTCCACAAAGTATATATAAGCAATAAGAACCATTGAAAGTTGCTTTTAGGTGATCCAAGCTGTCTGGAAGGGGCAAAGACCAGCCAAACTACCTGGAAGGGACACTTTCCAACCCATCCAACTGCCTGTGAGTCATGCAGTGAGCTCCAGATTTCCAGCTGTTGTGAGCTGTTACCCATGATGGGGTGGACTTTGTTGATGCAGCTGTCTTTGAGTCATTTCTGCTCCTATAAGTGACCCCAATAAAGCTCATTGGTTCACCGAGTTGGACTTTGGTGGTGTCCTTAATTTGGTCTGTCATTGGTTTCCTACCTGGAGCGGTTCATGCCTGCTCACATATGCACAGGAATAGTGTCACACAACATATATGCCCATGGAAATCTATTTGCAGTATACCTAATGCTTTATAAATAGTTATACTGTATCATTTAGGGAATGACAAGAAAAAAAATCTGGGGACTGGAGAGGTGGTTCAATGGGTAAGAATACCGCTTCTCAAATTTGAGGAACACTGGGTTGAAATCACCAGCATCCACCCAGAAAGCTGTGTGTGGTCATGTGCATGTCTGCAACCCTAGTGCTGTGGGGTGTGTGTGTGTGTGTGTGTGGTGTGTGTGTGTGTGTGTGTGTGTGTGTGTGTAGGGGGCAGAGTAAAGACAGGAGGACTTCTGGGGTCTGCTGGTCACTAGCCTAGTCCTAGGTTCAGAAAGAGACCCTGTCTCAAGGAATAGGTGGACAGTAATGGAGCAAGACACCTAATATTCTCCTCTAGTCTTTGTGAGTGAACATTCAAGCACATGAAGCCACTATACACATATGCATACACCACACACACATACTCACACACATGAAAATATGCCTGCATGTGTTCAATATTAATGTGTGTTATTACTTGTTGCTGGATTCTAACAGCTCCCTCGGGGGAGGGGGTGAGAAGGCACAGCATCAATGACTCAGACACCAGGTGTCTATTGAAAGCAAATAACGAACTCCTTTATTCAATAACAGGGAAGGCCTTATATACCCTTCTCCCAGTGCCCAGCCTATGTGGTCATCCCTCATTGGCTGGGCATGATCAGGAACTCTGACATCACACGGACTGTTACTAGGTCCTCAGGCAGACTTACCATGATCAGGAACTTGACAGCGACTAGGAACTCTGACAGCTCCTGTTGCTAGGCCCTCAGGCAGACTCCAGGTTGGCTCTTAAGGAGTACTTTATGTGCATGCCCTGGCTATTGGTCTGGGGCAATTTCCTCGACCCAATGGGCCTGTCCTACTACAATTACTGATAAATCTTTATTCAGAGTGAGTTGAATACATGGATGCAGAACTTGTAGGTATGGAGGCCCAACTACCTTTGGTGTGTGTGTGTGTGTGTGTGTGTGTGTGTGTGTGTGTGTGTGTGTGTTCACGTGTGCTTGTCTGTGTCATTGTGTGGAGGTCAGAAGTTAACACTGGCATGTCTTTCCCCAATCACTTCCCACATTTTGGAGACAGAGTCTTTCACTGAACTTCAAGCTTGCTTTTTTGCTAAACTGGCTGCATGGGGAGGCCCTGGGATCTTCCTATCTGGGGGCCCAGCACTGGGGTTGCATGCATTGCCGTATTCAGCTTTCCTATGGGTTCTGAGGATCTGAACCAGGACTTCATGCTTGCAGCAATCAGTTACCTATTGAGCCATCTCATCTCTCCAGCCCTCCAAACTCTTTTTTTTAATTGAAAATAGGTTCTTTTCTTACATAATATATCCTGATTATGGTTTCCTCTCCCTCTATTCTTCCCAGTCCTTACCCACCTCCCCCATCCACTCCCTTTATGTTTCTCATTAGAAAAGAACAGATTTCTAAGAGATAACAACCAAACACGACAAAATAAAAGATAAAACAAAATCCATCACATCAAGGCTGGACAAGGCAACCCAACAGAAGGAAAAGAGCCCCAAGAGCAGACACAAGAATCAGAGACCCACTCATTCACACACTCAGGAGTCTTGTGAAAATACTAAGCTGGAAGCTATAATATATACTCAGAAGACCTGGTGCAGACCGATGTTAGCCCTGTGCTTGCTGCTTCAGGCTCTGTGGGTTCATATGAGCCCTGCTTAGTTGGTTCAGAGAGCCTCATGCTCCTGGTGTCTTCCATACCCTCTGACTCTTACAGTCTTTCTGCCTCCTCTTCAATGGGATGCCCTGAGCTCTGAGGGGAGGGATTTGATGGAGACATCTCATTTAGAGATGTGTGTTCTAAGGCCCCCCTCTCTGTCTGCATAGTATCTGGCCATGGGTCTCTGTATTTATTTGTCATGGAATATCTTATTTTCTTCATCTATAGTGATTGAAAGTTTTGCTGGGTATAGTAGTCTGGACTTCCATCTGCGGTCTCTTAGAGCTTGTAGCACATCTGTCCAGGCCCTTCTGGCTTTTAGTGTCTCCATTGAGAAGTCAGGTGTAATTCTAATAGGTCTACTTTATTTGTTACTTGGTCTCTTTCCCTTACAGCTTTTAATATTCTTTCTTTGTTCTGTACATTTAGGGTTTTATAATTATTTGCCTGTGGTGGTATTGTGTTCCCCAAAATATTGTGCACACTAATAAACGTATCTGGGGTCAGAGACAGAATAGCCACAATATTAAACATAGAGGAAGCAGTGGTAGCACACACCTTTAATCCTAGCATTCCAGAGGCAAAAATCCCTCTGGATCTCTGTGAGTTCAAGGCCACATTGGAAACAGCCAGGCATGGTGACACATGCCTTTAATGCCAAGAAGTGAGCCTTTAATCCCAGGGAGTGATGGCAAAAACAGAAAGATATATAAGGTGTTGAGACCAGAAACTAGAAGCATTTGGCTGGTTAAGCTTTTACGCTTTGAGCAGCACAGTTCAGCTGAGATTCATTTTGGATGAGGACTGAGAAGCTTCCAGTCTGAGGAAACAGGATCAGCTGAGGAACTGGCGAGGTGAGGTAGCTGTGGCTTGTTCTGCTTCTCTGATCATTCAGCGTTCACCCCAATAACTGGCCTCAGGTTTGATTTTATTAATAAGAACTTTTAAGATTCATGCTACATGTGCCAAGGGAACTTTCTTTTCTGGTCCAATCTATTTGGTATTCTGTATGCTTCTACACCTTTATAGGAATCTCCTTCTTTAGCTCAGGAAAATTTTCTTCTATGATTTTGTTGAAAATATTTTGTGGGCTTTTGAGCTGGGATTCTTCTCTTTCCTCTATTCCTATGTTATTCTTAGGTGTGATCTTTTCATAGTGTCCCAGATTTCCTGGATGTTTTGTGTCAGGAGTTTTTTTAGATTTAATGTTTTGTTTGACCAATATATCCATTTCTTGTATCATATCTTCAATACCTGAGATTCTCTCTTCTATCTCTTGTAGTTTGTTGGTAAAGCTTGCCTCTGTAGTTCTTGTTTGAATTCCTAAATTTTTCATTTCCAGAATTGCCTCATTTTGGGTTTTCTTTATTGATTTGATTTCTACTTTCAGGTCTTAAAGTAGTTATATTCATTTCCTTCCACTGTTTGTGTTTTCCTGGATTTCTCTAAGGGATTTATTGATTTTCTCTTTAAGGACCGCTATCATCTTCATACAGGTGATTTTAATTTTTTTCTGTGTTTCAGCTTTGTTGGAGTTGGAATATTCAGGCCTGCTGTGGTAGGATAGCTGGGCTCTATGGAGATATATTGCTCTGGCTATTATTGTTGTTTTTACACTGGCCTCTAGGCATCTGGAATTGGGATGATTATAGGTCTAGGTGCTGGATTCTGGATTTGTCTTTGTTGGGTGGGTGTTTGGTTCCTTGGTTTCTGTTTCCTCTCTAGATTTTTGGAGAGTGTGATAGCTATGTGTTGCCTAGTGGGAAATTTTCTTTGGACCTGATAGTTGTGGCTACTAGGAATTCCAGGAAAAATGTATTTCTAGATATTGGGAGCTGACCCTTAAGAGTGGGGACAGGTTAGGGGTCTGAGGGGTATGTCCTCAGGTCCTGAGGCTCAAGGAATGCCTGCAGGTGTTGGAGGCTGGGATACTGGGATGAGTTGGGAAAAGGAAGGTTGGAGGAGAAGATCTTTGTGGTCCTTGGGGATGGGGTTGGAGAGGAAAGGGAGACTGCAGCAGAAGTTCTGCTACAGAGCTGGGGATGGGACTGAGGGGTTTAGAAATGGAGGGGCAGAAGGAGAGGAGAAGATCTGAAGTCAGCCTATCAGCTTCCCTGAAACGAGTGGCCTTTGGGTTAGCAGGGTATGTATGCCTGCTGGAGTTGGGGGATGGGATAAAGCAATGAGTAGGGGAAGGACAGTTAGGAGGGAGATCTATGAGAAGCACAGATGAGGACTAGGGGCAGGGGAGGCTGTAGCAGGATTTCTGTTGCAGAGCTGTGTAGCTGAAGTTTTCCTGTGTCCCAGCTGCTCAGACCCAAATAAACACACAGAGATTAATATTAATTAAACTGTTTGGCCTAATGGCTCAGTGTAGCTAGAGTTTTCCTGCCTGGCCCACAGTCAGGACAAATCTCTCTCACCTGCCAGTCCCACAGCCACTCAGACCCAACCAAGTAAACACAGAGACTTATATTGCTTACAAACTGTATGGCCATGGCAGGCTTCTTGCTAACTGTTCTTACAACTTAAATTAATCCATTTCTATAAGTCTGTACCTTGCCACATGGCTCATGGCTTACCGGCATCTTCACATGCTGTTTGTCATCGTGGCGGCTGGCAGTGTCTCTCTCTCTCTCAGCCTTCCACTTCCCACCTTTATTCTCCTCCTTGTCCCACCTATACTTCCTGCCTAGCCAATGGCCAATCAGTGTTTTATTTATTGACTAATCAGCAACACATTTGCCATACAGAACATCCCACAGCAGCTCAGGCTTCTTCCTATCTAGTTCTTATATCTTAAATTAACCCATTTCTATTAATCTATAAGTTGCCACATGGCTTGTGGCTTACTGGTACCTTACATCTTGCTTCTCATGGTGGTGGCTGCTAGCAGCATCCCCTGACTTAGCCTTCCACCTCCCAGAATTCTCCTCTTTCCTTATCCCACCTACACTATACTTCCTGCCTGGCTACTGGCCAATCAGCGTTTTATTTATCAATCAATCAGAGCAACACATTCACAGCATCCCCAGTAGAGTTGGGGATGAGACTGAGGGGTTGGGCCTGGAGAACAGAGGAAGATGAAGGTCTGCAGTCCGCCTACCTGGTTCCCTGGCAGGAGTTCCTCCAAACTCTTAAGAAATGAATAGGAATCCA